GGCATTACTCGAATGGACCTGTGGTACTGGCTAATCAATCATGGTGTTTCCAGGGACCACATACATAAGAAGCCTACTAAGTTTTTATTTGATCTGTATAAGCAGAAAAACTCTAGGATGAATGACAGGAAGTCAGTATTGGATTGTAGCAATAGAGAATCTCGCTCAGTCAACCAATTTCCAGACTTGAGACAATTTACACACCCAGAACCCCTTGAATGAAGGGGCCCCTTGAATGAAGGGAAGGCAGGGTGCCCTTGAGGAAGGACCTTATCACAGTATCAGAGTTATGCTGTTTGCCTCTCACCCATCCTTCCCCAGAGGGACCTGCGGCCTTTTACTATAGTAACTGTACATTGGGGGAAAGGAAATAATCAGACTTTCCATGGCCTATTGGATACTGGTTCTGCATTGATACTGATTCCGGGAGACCCTAAAAAGCATTATGGCCCTCCAGTTAAAGTATGGGCCTATGGAGGTCAGGTGATAAATGGAGTTTTGGCTGAAGTCCGACTGACAGTGGGTCCAGTGGGTCCCCGAGCTCTTCCTGTGGTTATTTCCCCAGTTCCAGAATGTATAATTGGGATAGATATACTTAGGAATTGGCAGAATCCCCACATTGATTCCCTGACCTGTGGAGTGAGGACTATTATGGTTGGAAAGACCAAATGGAAACCATTGAAATTGCCTCTGCCAGGGAAAATAGTGACCCAAAAACAGTATTGCATCCCTGGAGGGATTGCAGAAATTAGTGCTACCATCAAGGATTTGGAAGATGCAGGGGTGGTGATTCCCACCATATCTTCCCTAACTCTCCTATTTGACCTGTGCAGAAGAAAGATGGGTCATGGAGAATGACAGTTGACTATCAAAAACTTAATCAAGTAGTGACTCTAATTGCAGCTGTGGTACCAGATGTGGTTTCCTTACTCGATCAGATTAATACGTCTCCTGGTACCTGGTATGCAGCTATTGATTTGGCAAATGTTTTCTTCTTGATACCAGTTCATAAGAACCATCAGAAGCAATTTGCTTTCATCTGGCAAGGCCAACACTGTACCTTTACTGTTCTGCATCAAGAGTATATTAACTCTCCAGCATTGTGCCATTACTTGGTTCAAAGGGATCTTGATTGCCTGACTCTTCCACAAAATATCACACTGGTCCACTATATTGATGATGTTATGCTGTGAGCAGGAGATAGCAGACAGTCTGGACTTATTGGTAAAGCAGATGCGGATGAAAGGATGGGAAATAAATACAACCAAAATTCAAGGGCCTTCTACCTCAGTAAAATTTCTAGTTCAGTGGTGTGGAGTATGCAGAGGCATTCCTTGTAAGGTGAAGAATAAGTTGTTGCGCTTGGCCCCTCCCTCCACCAAGAAAGAAGCACAATGCTTAGTGGGCCTGTTTGGATCCTGGAGGCAGCACATTCCTCATCTGGGTGTGTTACTACAACCCATATATCAAGTGACTCGGAAGGTAGCTACCTTTGACTGGGGTCAGGAACAGGAAAGGGCCCTTCAACAGGTCCAGGCTGCTGTACAAGCTGCTCTACCCTTAGGCCATATGATCCAGCAGACCCAATGGTACTTGAGGTATCAGTGGCAGATAAGGATGCTGTTTGGAGTCTCTGGCAGGCCCCCATAAGGGAATCATAGTGGAGGCCATTGGGATTTTGGAGTAAGGCTTTGACTTCATTTGCAGACAACTATTCTCCCTTTGAGAGACAGCTCTTAGCCTGCTATTGGGCATTAGTGGAAACTGAACATTTGACAATGGGCCACCTAGTCACCATGTGACCAGAGCTACCCATCATGAGCTGGGTGTTATCTGACTCCCTAGGCCATAAAGTAGGCTGTGCACAGCAACAATCCATTATCAAATGGAAGCGGTATATACATGATCAGGCTCGGGCAGGCCCAGAGGGCACAAGCAAGTTACATGAAGTTGCCCAAATGCCTATGGTTCCTACTCCTGTTATGATGCCTCCTGTTCTCAAGCATGTACCTATGGCTTCATGGGGTGTGCCCTATTATCGGTTGGCTCAGTAAGAGAAGACTAGGGCTTGGTTTACAGATGGTTCTGCACACTATGCAGGCA